ACTATAACAAGAGTTCATATAACATGAGTAAGTTGTATACTGTATAACAAATAATCATAATAAATAATAATAATATCGTATAATTAGATATCCCCAAATACAATTAATAATGCTCGAAAATTTTCTCGTATTAATGGACTGGGATGTATTGCGTTAGAAAAACCTATCATTACCCATTCAAAAATATTAGTTATCAAAGAAAAAGAGTTTGAATTATTCTTTAATGACAAAGATAATATAAATATGAGTTCTTATAAAGTAGATCACCAAACAAATTTACCTGTACTTTATTTAAAAAACCAAAAAAATGTGCTTTGGGAAAAGTTTTCTGCCACTTATCCGGATGGAATGAAGCGTACATCTTTCATGGCCCGTTTACAAAATAGTCATTTTTAATATAGAGAAGATTTAGGAGGATTATGCATGACATGTAATGATTATAGATATCAACCTTTTGAAGATTTGATTGAGATAATTAATTCAACTTTTTCTTATAAAACAATACGGGTTAGTCAAATATAAAAAAAATTTTTCACATTAGTATTAATATATAATTTTTGTAGAACGATCTAATCAATAAAGTGGAATTACTGCGTCATCATCTAAAACGAAATTATGAAAAGAAATTAGTGATTAATAAGAATGGTACAATTAATCATGTAGACTGCATTAATCATTGCTTATTATTTGCTTTTGGTGTATGTAAAGATTAATATTTTTCGTGGTATCCAGAATGTGATAGATTCTTTAATATATTCAAAGATTTAAAAAATAAGCTAGATTCTTCATATTATATAAAACTTACAGAATATCAGGAATGATTAATATATAATTTAGCCTATCAAACCCGTAAAACATACTTAAATGCTCAATTTAACTCTACATTATATGAGCTTGATGACTATGAGGTGATTATTGTAGTTGATTATAAGATGCGAATTTTGCCTGCAATAGCTTGAGAAACGAAAAGCTAATTTTTTGGCAAGCATGGGTAGACACTCCATACTACCTTGGTGTTTCAGAAAGATAAAAATAATAATGAAAACTTAGATATTCAGGCCTATAACCATTGAAGCACTGATACCAAACAAGATGCTTGGTTCACTGCATCATGTTTTGAGGCGGTATTTGCGACAATAAATCCTAAACCCCATTGGATTAAAATAATTTCGGACAATGGTGGGCACTATCATAACTCGGAACTAATGGCAATTATTAGCCACTGGTATAGTTGGTATAATGTAGAAATACGTGGGTGGATTTTCCTTGAACCTGGAGAAGCCAAAACCACTGTTGACTCTCACCATGCAACAGCAAGTAGATTAATATATGTCACAAATCATAATGAAATTGGATTAAAATAAAATTTGAGTTT